TATATATCTGACACCCTGCATACAGAAATAGATGAAGGACGTAAACAGGAATGGCACCAAAGAAGATGTTCACATGGATAAATATTTTTAAATCTCATAGTTACTAGTAAGTATATCAGTTTCTTTTTCTTCCATAATTTTATTGAGAAATAGCAATGAGACAGTTTCAAATCAAATTGGTAGGACAGTTCCAATAATTAACACATTGCATACTTCCTTCCTAGTGGTTATTTGTTGTACAAGATGCAGACATGATATCCTATTTACAAATACTATTAGAACAAATCCCTCTATTCATTAAGAGAATGTAGCTGTATATATATATCCTAACCATTTTGAATACACAGATACAAAATGGACATTCATCTGTATCCCCTTTTTTGTTTAGTTCTGTCATTTAAATATTATAGGTGTGTGAACTCAGCAAAATATTCCAAAATAGTCCAGTAGTTCATAATAGTATTGGGTCATTCACTTGACTGGCAATGTCAGAAATTGTTGATCTGAGTCCCCTACAGCTCAACATAACACCATGGCTTTGCTTCTTATACTTCATTTTTATACTTTTCTGCTGCATGGTTAAGACCAAGATAAAGCAAGACCTGTGCAACAAGAATTGTAGTTTTTTTCTTTTTGGCAGAACCAGGGATTGAACTCAGGCCCTTGTGCTTGCCAGGGAAGCACTTATTCCACTGAGCTATCTCCCCGCCCCTAAGAATTGTAGCTTTTGGATCTAATAAGATGAGTCAAATCCCCCCAGAATTTATCCTGAGACCTTGTACCTCAGATTGTAGAACCTTTGTCAGTGTCAGCCATGTGGATGAGTCACGGCCATTGCTTGGCCAATTTTCTGTCTGCTCTCTAGAATTTATAAAGAACTAAAAAACACCCAAAATTTAAAGACCCAGTCCAGAAATGGGCATCCGAGATGAATACACACTTCTCAGAGGATGTAATGAAAGAAGCGAATAAATAGATGAAAAAATGCTCCACATCACTAGCCATCCGTGAAATGCAAGTTAAAACCACATTGAGATATCATCTCACCCCAGAAAGGATGGCTATCATAAAGAAATCAACCAACAACAAACGTTGGAGCAGCTGTGGGGAAAAAGGAACCCTTCTCCACTGCTGGTGGGAATGTAGACTGGTGCAACCCTTAGGGAAATCAGTGTGGAGACTCCTTAGAAAACTAGAACTGGAAATCCCATTTAAACCAGCTATTCCTCTACTG